CTCGGCGTCCACTTCGTGCTTATGGTTCACGTTTGACATCATCGACGAGTCCGAGTCGTCCGGAGTCGGCGTCAGACCTGAAGGTAAGGGTGTTTTGGTATTTAATTACACAAAACGATACACTAATCAATACATATTGGCTTTCATATTGATTTTAAATACACTTTTTAATTATGTATATTAATTTTGTATCGACATTTTTATAACTAGTCATGTGAATTACGATTAGTTTATAGTACTATGAAATGAATTGATCAAGGACAAACATACGTGACTCGATATCGGCGGTGGGAGGTCGGCGCCACACCTCCGCGCTGTTGGTATACCTGTGCTGCTCTTCCGGCGGCATATAGTTCTCCAGCAATTGCCTGATCGTCAGGACTCCCGGATTCAGTAAATAGTATTCAGCGCTGTGTCCGATCTATACATACCATTGGGTTTCATAATTAAAAAGTGTTTTTTCAGTGTTTTATTACACGAAAGGCATTACTTTATCATTGAGGGCCGGGTCGGCGTTTGACTCAACCAGACGTTTGTAAAATAATTTTTCCGCGTCAGTCATAACCGCCGCGTAATGTAATGGCGTTCGCCCCTCCTATCCATTCAGACATTCAAAATAAAAATTTGTATAAAAACTAAATTAATTTTGATATACAAAATAATTTCATTCAAAACAATTCTCTGTATAGTGTTGACCGCAAACAAACACACAATTATTAATACTATAATACTATACAAAATAATGAATACATACATTGTCCGGACCATTGATAGTCTCGGGAAACTGTGTGATGATGTAGGCCATGACATCCCAGTGGGCGTGCAATACCGCCAAATGCAGAGGACTGGCGCCTAAATGGTCGCGACTGAGTGCGAACCGTTTGCGGGTCAGCACCTGCTTGGCTTCGGCCACATTACCGCGGATGACGGTGTCGTGCACTGTCCTGATCTTGTTCATATAGGTGGGCACCAGGTCCAGGAAGTCCTGCACCTGACTCACGGGCGACTTCTTGCCGATGAGTCGCTCTCCCTGTCCGGCGATCACCACGTGCTCCAAGCGAAGCAGATCCGACTCCTTCAGCCACTTCTCGATCAAGTCGTTCAGACCATCTGTTTTTGGATTTGTTTTGTTTTTGTTATAATTCTTGTATTTATTAGGGTTTGAATGCTTTATTCATTAGCTATTTATGTGCATCAGATTCAGTGCCGTGTTTATTATTATGTGATTTGTGGTCATAAAATAATTATATAGCGTTAAAATCAATTTTAGTTATAAATTATTAATTACTAACTATTCTAGAATCTATACTTTACTTAATAATATATAATAATATAATTCATATAAAAAATAATTTATTGTATACTGTGCTAACATACGATATATTAAATTTAAAATTTTATTACTTATAATCTATAATTTATACAGAATTTTTACAGAATATAGAAATATAAGAATTATAATAAATTAAATGATGGAGATATCTCCTTTTGTATGACTAACATAACATCTCTATTATATTAAATTAATACAATACTACGGATATTAAGAGAATTATTATATGATAGAAGAAATTCTTTACTAAATTATTGCTGTCATTTGATTTACTATATTATGAAATGAATTTCAGACATCTTTGAAAATAATATACTACATTAATAATATGAGAATCTATTTATAAATGTACTGAAAATAATATATTTTCTAATATAATAAAGAATATAATTTTCATTTATAAAAACATGAAGTTATTAATTGCTATTATTTAGCATAAATAAATAGCTAAAGTTTAACAAATAATTAGCAAGTCCAACACATAATTATATATAATTTTATTTCAAAATGAATCCAAAAAAATTAGAATTAAATTTAAATTTTTAAAAAGTTAGCTTTATTTGCGAGTGTATAATAAAAATTCATATACTGTTAAAATATGACAAAAATGTTAACTAATATTAGTATTAATTCGGATTAATATTTAGTAATAAAGCCATACATAAAATAGTGGCGCAAATGGGGAAAGGGATCCATAAATAAGTAATAAATATTAATATTATTAACGCTAAACAACAATACAATGCAATACAATAACAGCAATCAATAACTCCACACAACACAAGAATATTCTGTGTATCGCAACACAAACAAAAGGACAGGACTTTTATGATAGGACTGCCAGCTCTGTCAGAAAGAGTAGATGCGTGAGTATATATGTATAAGAATACCGGTGCCATACAAGTGTCACAATAGCTGTCAAAATAAATACTTATCAAGGCAAATAATATTAGGCCATACCTGCTGCCGG